GACCCTTCAAATTATTTATTTTATAGATATTATCCCATTTTCACCATTTCATTATGTTAAATAATATTTTTTTCAAACATCAGGCCTGGAGTAACAATAGCTAAGCTTTGATTTGGAGATTCCTGCTTGGTGGAGATGACAAGCGAATGATCAATTTATCAAACTACCACTTCAAAGGAAAATCAAAACTGATTATTTGTCCACTAAGGCATAGGGCACGTCGGTTTGTTTGTTAATTTTCAGTCTGTCTACTACTCTTTCGTTCTATTCACATTCTATATGAGGAAATAAATGTGGCAGCAATTGAGTTAAGGCCTGGATGTTGGCCACCGAGGTGAAGGTCACAGAGGTTAACTGCGAGTTCAACTTGAGTTGTTACTCACCTAATCTTGACAGAGTTTAAGACAGTTTAAATAGTCTTAAAACTTTTTCAAGGTGTATTTTAAAAACAAACAAGCCGGTGAGTGAATAAGACAGTTTTCTAAAAAACAAACACAGGTTGCACATATATTTTACAAAACCTTAGAGTCATACAAGGCAGTAACTCAGGGTATCGCCTCCTACTATGGTGAATAATAGGCCCAGGTTTCAAAAAGGGGTGTCAAATTCACCCTTCATTGCTGGTGGACGATAAGAAGGTGCAAGTGTATATGCTGGCATTCGTTCCAAAGTGGTTGTTTTACACCAGGAGGTGCTGATTTAAGGGGTGGGTGGTAGCGGGTAACAGCCCCCCATTCTCTAGTCCATTAAAGTGGTCTGAAATGGATCCACGCCTGAGCGTAAGGGATGCATCCCAGAAGCCTTACTGCCTCACCAACACCATCCCCTCCCCTCCCCACACACACACACACACACACACACACACACACACACACACACACACACACACACACACACACACACACACACACACACACACACACACAGAGCCAGAGATAAGCAGAGATGTGACAGAGCTACAGCAGTAAGTGTTTTATACAGTCCAGACTCACTGTTTTCTAACTCTCACAGTGTGTCTCAGCGCCACAACCACTGCCGCTGTTTAGAAAAAGATCAAGACCCCCTTTTTAGAATGGCTAAATGGAAAATGTCAGAAAAGTGGTAAACATTTGCAGTAATCTGTAACAATGATAGCAGGGGAGTATCATGTTGAGGGATTATCCTGTTCTTGGCTCTCAAGCGATGGCAATTTAACATTTGTACCTTGACAATGTACAGAATAAGTGTGTTTGGTATCTTAGCTGTTGGATTGTGTGCCTTTTTGTCTGTGAACACTTGACCCTCTGTATGACCGACATTCCTTTTGCTCTTAAAATATTCATCCTGGTACATGCTTTATGTTGTACAGCTTGTCAGTTAGGTTCTAGACAGCCCCAAGCAGCTTGCTTAGTGATTAGCCAATTGTACCTCATAAACTGTCTAAAGAGACCATTCAGTACATGCAGTATGCTGCATTGTGAGGGTGCAGTTAAGGCTCTAATGGTTTTCCATCCTTATGATGGCAGACAGCATCATTAGCAAAGGCAGTCCACATGAAGCCAGACAGTGCCAAACACAGCACCTTAAAACATTCAGTGTAAAGTAGCACTTAGGGAAACATAAACTTGTGTTTATGTGACTCTCACTTAGCAAACAGCGATATTGTGAAACCAAGTTAAGTTGTTTCTAAAAGCAGACCACGGTATTATTTCACATTCTGGAAGGTCCCGTACAGAAGTATTTATTTCATCATATTGAAGTTCCATTTAAATGTCTTTCTCATTTTGCAAAGAGTTAACCAAAGGGAATTGATCAAAGTTACACGTTTTCAATCTGGAATTGTAAGTGTAATCGTGAAAAATAAGTGGAACATTCTTTTATTTACATATAAAAAGCTACATTTAGTAGCAATAAAACTAACATTCCTCTCTCAATTCACTTTATTTTGAAGCTACAGCCTTACTTGGTTTAGTTTCACCATTGGGTGGTGTCTTATGTCGGCAAACTTAAGGTTCATTTTGCAGAGTAATAGACACTACTTCATAAACGTTATGACTGCGGAGCTGTAAAGTATTTATTTATATCATTTCACTTGCACTCCCAGTGTCTGCTTTGTAGCAGAAGTTACAAAGTCACCCTTTAGAGACCCAGTATAAAGATTATCTGACCCCTTTATGTATGAAATTCCATTTCTACTACATTGTTTGAAGCCTACTGCATATATCCCACTAAAATGGTTACACCCGACTTTACCTTTAAGGGTGACTCCATTTAGTTTAACCCAGAGTTGGTGGGCTTTAACCAACCCTAAAGCTTTTAAACCATGTTTATTTATCTGGAACATGTTTCTTGTCAATCCCAAGATGAACAATTCCCCAAAAAGCAGCACCATGATGGAAATACATTTGTTCCACTTGTATATTTAGAATATATTTGTATATTCTTGAGAATATCAATCAGTGGCTTTGAGCCCCATTTCTTAGTAGAAAATAAAGCACCACAACCCATGCATTCTCATTATGCACTCATATTTATTTCAGCATCCTAATCCATTTCCCAACTGACACAAATTTGCATTTCAGCTCTGACAATGAGAGAGAGTACTTGCCCTGTGTACTTTGCATGGTTGGCAATAGTTATTATTGGTAGTCACTGACTAGAAAAGCAAAGCATTTAACTGGAGCCAAGGTTAGAAACCATTGAAATAACCCAACACACACATAGACCCATTTTACGGCTTCCTGAGTGGTGATTTTACATGATTGGGCGTGTTTGCGTAATCTTGTTTCTCCTTGGTACTTTCCATTTATGACCCCCTCTAGATCCACCCTTGAGTCACACACATTCCCGAGGACACAAACCATAAAGTGATCGCTCGGCTTAGGTTTTCATCTGCCATCTGTCCCCTCAATACATTTTGTCTCAAGGTGACTTACAATGTGCAAAACCTTTTTTGGTCTTCAGAGAGTGGACACAATCATCTCAGCAGATGAGTAGCTGCACTGAAAGGCTGCTGTTGTAAGCACAAAGAAGAGAGATTTAATTTGAAATGTGATGGTCTGCCTAGAAGGATTTTTAACCTACACCATCCACAGAGTTTGGAGAATTTACATTTCTATATGTACTAAAAAACGTTTCCAAACACAGGCATATTCTCTGGTTCATTATCAGGCAGAGTTATCCATCATCACTTGGGCTTTGTAGATTCCAGACTCAGTGTTTTCTTTCCATTTCCTCTGGCCAGACTATTGGAGGATATGTCAAAAGTGACACTTATATCAGCTCTATATAGTTCATGATTAGGGGAAGGGGTTTGTTCCTGAAAAAAAACTCTGTAAAACTTTTGCCAAGAGATATTCCATGCTTAATATTACATCGAAAAACGGCGAATTCAACTTGACGGACCTGTGTAAATGGCAGAGAGCTGGACGTTTTTGTTGAAGATTTGAGACATCCATCCTTGTTCAACTGGTTCATTATTTGTTAGACTCGGATTGATTAAAAATGTTTATCATGTCATATTTTCTTTATTAAAGCAGAATAATTATGTTATTTTTCTGCAAATCAATCTCATAGAATACTTTGCAATATTAACACTATACTGCTGTGTTCAAATGTATACAGATATGTTAATATTTCTGTCATGATCACCAAAACAGAAATATACTTTACTTTGCACAGTTAAGCTATTAATTCCGTAATCTGATTATTAGATCACATTTTTTATTGATAGAACTCCAATATACAATAGTCAAGATTGAGCCAAAATGGAAATCCCCAAAAACAGGAGATCTCGCCAACCTTGATGACTTTTCTAAATTCAACCAGAATGATTGCAAGCATTAAAAGGCAAGCTAAACTTAGTTGAAACTTGCGCAGTCACCAGCTGCTCTTTGTCTTGTAACACACAACTAAATATTTTCCTCCAGACTCTTTCCTCTGTGTGTTAGGAATTTAATTCGGCCCACGGCTACAGTACAGGATGGGAACTGTTGCTAAGGACACCAACACATATGATGTTTTGCTGTTTGACTCTGATTTGTCTTGGCTGATGCGTTCCTGAAACATAGCTGTTAACATACAGCCTGTTGATAAGCCAAAGCAAAATTAAGAATCTCCCTACTGGGCGATTATTGAATCACTTACGTGTGTGTTCAGACAGTGAGCTTACGTTGTGGATAATAACAATCTAATGATGTCAGTTTTATTTATAAAAACTAAATGATCCTTAGACAGCCAGGCTCTCCTATATCTGCTAAGTCAAATTGCGCTACATTTTCTATGAACAAGACTCAAGGAAACGTTACGACTTTGTGGAATTACCTTAACTTAGTAAACTTCTAAAATAACAATGTACTGCTGAACAGTACACAGATGATCCATATGGTTAATTCATGAAGAATAGTATCCAACACAAACTTTCATCTTGTCATTTGTTTGGGTTTGGAGAAAAGGATTGAGGAGTCCTTTCCTGACGAGCCTGAGTGAATATCTGATCATCTCTGTCTCTTTGCCTGCAGGCTAATCACCTACATCTGGCTGTGCCTATAGTAACTCATTCTACACTTGAGTTGCATTCAAATGATGGAAAAAATGTTTGTTGTGCATTTTTTCACATGTACAATATAAACACTTTCCAGTGCGTGTCCAACGGAAATGTCGATTTATTTAGTTTTTTTTGCTTATTGAATAATTGTGTATATTGATTATGGAATCTTGTGTGGCGTCCTTTAAGCTTGCTATTACTGTGAATGTGAAACTGTAAGAGACAAGAAGAGAAAGGGTAGGGAACAATGCCTCGCATCAGTGTTCCTGCCTGATGTCAGTTATTAAACATCTTTTTACCATTGTACCCTACTGTGATAGACAAAAAAGTTGAAAATGGGTTTAATTGATTGCCAGATTTACTTCTGGGTTACAATTGACCTAAAGGCTCCATGTTATTGTTTTTGTAAATAATACATTTCTGGGATGCACCTTCAAGTATACTTGACATCTTTCTGTACTTTTCTTTGGTGCAGATTGAGAACTACATCAAAGAGAGCATGAAGGTGGAGATGGCTCAATTGCAGCAGAGCGCCGTCCACAATCACACTGCAGCCATGTTGGAAATGGGAACCAACCTTCTTTCTCAGACGGCTGAACAGACGCGCAAGCTGACTGACGTTGAGACGCAGGTAACACTTTTAAAACAGACACTTGCACTAAGGCTCACAAACATGTTGATGTGCCCCCATTCAATTCACTCTTTATGTCTTTCTCTTGCACACACACGCTGAGAGGATCCATCCTATGCGTCATTAACTCAACAATTCCACAATTCACTGCCCCCAAAAAGGTTACAGAGCACTGGCCAAACACAATACTGATGCTATGTAAATGCCTAACCCTCCTGTGACTTATTTGGCTCAGTTTCCTTTTAGTGTTTACATGGAGGATTTTGAGTGGGAGGTGATGGAAAGTTGTGAAGTTAGCGTTGGGTAATTTTTGCTAAAGCACTACAAAGATTACTGTTTGCAAAGTTAAAAAAGATAATCATAGCAGAGATGAAAATCTCCTAAGTATAACCATGTGTTTGGGGAACACTTGACAAATGAAAACAAAGTTGATGGTTTCTATGTGCAGTGTGTTTTTCCAGTGTCTAAAAAGCCTTAAATACAGCCCTGCATTTTTTGTTTCTCTTTAGGGTTTGGTGCACATGAGCAAGATATTAGCTAGTATTATTGCACATACTATGTAGAGAGGCATTATATAATCTACTGTATATATCTCTGCATTTCTTATCATGGCAGGTTCTGAATCAGACATCGAGGCTCGAGATCCAGCTGCTGGAAAATTCTCTTTCCACTAACAAGTTGGAGAAAGAGTTAATGCTCCAGACCAATGAGATCAGCAAGCTGCATGACAAGAACAGGTAAACAGACAATGCTTCGAGCAAACAACACACACACACACACACACACACACACACACACACACACACACACACACACACACACACACACACACACACACACACACACACACACACACACACACACACACACACACACACACACACACACACACACACACACACACACACACACACACACACACACACACACACACACACACACACACTAAATACCATCACTTCTGCAGGAGGAAGGAATTAAAGATGATACAGAGAGCCGTTCTCTACTTCTGTTCTCTGCTGGATTGTGTAAACAAAATCAAAAGCTTGCTACCAGCTTTCATTGACTACCACATAGTTTTGCAAAACAATATTCAGTTGTATATACAATATCATAATGGGGAGTTTGCATTTTCTATTTCAGTTGATCAGTTCAAAATGCATGATGCTTTCCATGTTAGGCCCATTGTGCATTTCTTGCAAAATCATGCAATTTAAAATGTTGCTTTTGGATTTAATGTCTCCAAATCTTGATTGGTGCTGTGGGATTGTCTAAGATTATATAATGTTTAAAAGGGTTTGGTCCCCATCTCTCATTGCAGTATCCATAGAGACTCAATGCAATCACTTTGGAAGAAAATGAAAACATAGCCTAGTCTCTGGTGATACTGTTTTTTTAGTTATTCCTAAGCCATATTGAGATAGATTCCTGAGGGGACATTTTCGTAAGCTTCAGCAATTATGACATTATTTCATCTTGTGCGTGTCTTCTGTCATTTTTCCCTTTACCAAATCTATAATAGTGGAGAACATATGATCAGTTGATGAATTTGATGTCAGCTTGTATCATCTTTCAGGAATTAGATTGTACGCTGGTGATTCTCAGATACTGAACAGCTTGTTCATTTACCTCAAATGAATCCCAAAGTATATGATGAACGTATATGTTTATATTCTGTGGGGCACACATAGCAACCAATCCTCAGACATCAGTTTCTGAAGTCTTAAGCTAAATTCATGTTTTCTTTTCCCATATTGCTCATTGGGAAATGGTTTTCAAGTAAAGGGTGTATATCACCACCTATTGATATTTATTACTCGGTGTTCATCACAAAATAACAGCAGGAAGCAACAAGAGCGAAAGAGGGATTCAGCTGATTCATAATCAGTGAGTAACTGGTAATATAACAAGTTGCAAAACAATCTTAAATCCATTTAAATCCGCAAGAAGAAATCTCATTCCAGCGGATTTGGATGCCGTGAAGGACCATAATAATTAGCAACTTAGCTATCTTATAAACAAACGTTTCATCCTATTTTCCTTTCTGCAGCCTCTTGGAGCAGAAGATGTTCGAGATGGAGATGCGACACAGGGAAGAGCTGGATACCCTGAAGCAGGAGAAGGGGAGTCTCCAGGTCCTGGTGGGGAGGCAGAGCGGGGTTATCGGGGAACTAGAAGCCCAACTAAACCGGGCCTCAGGAAATGGCACGGCCCTGCAGAGACAGCAGCAGGAGATGATGGATACAGTCCATAACCTGCTCAACCTCTGCAACAAGGATGGAGGTAAGCCAACTGGAATCAAAGGGTCACATGCAAAGAAGTTTGGAATCTTTGTTATAAATATGCTCTTACAAAATGGCCATCGCATTAGGAGCATTGGCAGTTTTATTGTGCTAAAACCAAAAAGCCAGGTAGCTGAGCATGGCCACTGATCCCAGCATCTCAAAGAGGGACCAATCAGGGAAATACTGGAATGGTTTAGATGCTGACAATAAGCCTTGGTACTGGGTTTTGAAGTTAAACTGAGTAAAAAGAAGAAATCTTTGACAACCTGGACATGAGGAGAGGACCTACCGACTGTTTTGCCTTCTTCTCACCTAAAATATATTGTATGTTTGATTACATTGAATACTTTATAGAGACATTCATGGTCCCCAGAGGATAAAGCTCACTGACTTTGGTGATCTTCTCACTTTTTCACTTGTGGTTTAGAGCTGTCCATTAGATGAATCAGCGTGAAATGTAGTCACCACAGGCAAGGAGTAGTTCGGTTTTTCACACTTGGAGGACTTTTTTTTAAACCGGTATCCGAATGTTCATATTGAGCCTTCGCATACAGTTTCTGATGAAGAAATGTGCGTCACATGGACCCAGAAGTACTCATGAGTTTTGGAAGTATAATACAAAGTACAAATGGTCTGGTTCTACTTTGAAACCCTGAGGCAAATCAAGAACATCCACTGTGCACTGGGTTGGTCAAACCGAGCGTAGAAAGGTTTATGTTTATGTTTCAGCAGAGGAGAAGGCTTGTCAGTAATCTGTTGATTGGTTTTAGTCTGATCCAAAGTTTGTCTACCCCCACAAGCAATGACCGAAACACAAGAAAATGCCTATTGACCCTTGCCAGACCACAATGTGAAAAGCTACATTTGTGGATTGGCTGATCAAGGCTATAACTATAAAGCAGCTTTTGTTTTTCCCACTAACTTCCTCTGGTCAGCTACAACATCTTTGATTTTACAATCCTCATGAAATCAGGATGACACCAGTTCTATAAACCTTACCCCATACTGAGAGACACGGGGATGCGATGGCTATTAAACCCTGATTTCACTGAGAGCAGCATGAAGAAAGAAACACGGTTCTTATTGTAACCTGATGTGCTCTTAAAGAGCGTTGGTGCCTCTCATGAACCAGCATGTTGCTCTTATTTTTTGTTGTTGCAACAATCACTTTTCATGCTTAACTTCCTAAAGTCTGAGAACACTGCTTCTCTGAAACGTCAAGCATTACTCTGGTTATGAAGTATCAGGATTATGTTAGTCCTCTGAGTCTTTCCCTTCTGTTAACAGAGACCAGGGATTTCCCTTTTGGCCCTTCTTTTGACCCTGCAGGAATTCAACCTCTCATGTTCGGTCAAATGCAGTGAACTCATCTACCCCTTTTTAAGCCGTTTAAACGCCGAACCAACTTGATCCTAACATTGGCCTTAAACCCCATTGGTCACAGGAGATTTGACATGAATTCTGTGTCGGGGGACCGGTTGCAACTTCATTTCCATTTGTGGACTTCCTGCACAGACGCCTCGAGACCTCACAGTGCTTCTTGAGGTTTCCCGTCAGACAGGAAGCAACAAGGATATGAAGGGATGTAGGAGTCATGATTGGATAACTACTAGACATGATTAACACATGCTTTGTATTTATCATGCTGCTCCCTTTCATTATTTTAATGTTCCGTGCAGTAGAGGTCACGGGCGGCCTCCACTCACACTCCATGTGTTTAGTCTGGATTTGTGTATGTGGCATTTAATTACCAGAGGTCTTTTGAAACCTTTTTGGCCGTGATCTTCATGTTAAGATTCAAGTGTTTCCTCATGCAACATTACTAGTTTTTCAATTGTACTTGCTTTGTAATCTGCCAAGTTTCTTTATTTTGCCACCTTTTTATGCTACTTTTATTATCAGTAGGGTCACCACAGCGCGTCCCACTGTCTGTGATTGGTGGTTACCTTAATGAGAAGCGATAGAAATGGAATGTTGCCACGGCCGCTCTGTTGTTGGTCCTTTCCTCTTCCATGGTGGCGTTGAAGTTTGAGGCGGGCTGGCGGGTCAGAGGTCTCCCCTTTCTTCACCCCTGCCTGAATAAGTCAAACTGAAATAGCTCCCCGGGGACATCCCGTCCAAAGGAGGTGAAGGAGTAGGTAGATCTCACCGATCATGGGACCAACTGCCACTGCTTTTCGACAACATTTAAAACACAGTAGCAACAGAGCTCTCTCTTTTTCCATTTTCAGGAGAGTGCTTTTTTTTTTTTGAGAAACGGATCGGTGTTTTCATTTGCGGAAACGGTTAGCATTTCATGCCATCGAGGGGCGTCTGCTTGCGTAAGTCTTTGTTTTGAAAACTGAGCCTGAGTATTTCCTTTTTTAAAGCCTGAACTGAAATTGTCTTTGACTTTGCTTGGGGGAAGATGACATATTTAGAAAAGGAAGTTTAACACAAAATCTTCATAAATGTATTTCTTCCCCAGCTGCCATTTGTGGCTTTCCTAAAATCAAAGTTTCCAATCTTTTCTTCAACCGTTGCAGTGCAAACTGTGCCCTTTTAAGATTTGTTGATGTGGCCAGATGCGTCAGTGGAGCTCTTGTTTAGGTTGTAATCATTACCCAAACCTCATTAGGGTGCAATGAGCCACACACTGTGATTAACGATAATTGTCCTCAGCTTTGGAACACTGTACACATTTCTGGCTGCTTAATATGATTTTGTTTTACAGTGTTCTATTATCCCACTAAATGCAAAACATTCATCATTTTTACAGCAGCTTACTCGAAGTCGAAAACAGTAGAATTATCTTGGGTTTCCACTCAAAGCTCAAATGGCATTTATGTGTTGTAATGCCTAAACACGACAGTATGGTAAACCACTTCATTAGACATCACTTTACGATCCAAACCTAATTTTTGAATGCTGCACATGATTATTTTTATGCTTCACTGACCAGCAGAATGAGCCGACACGTATTGTTCCAAAGACCCTGTAAAGTGTGCAGTTATTGCGAGTCACCAGAGTGACCTTTACAAAACCTTTATTTTCACAGAGGGAATTAGACTGTTTTATTATATGTTGCATTTTCACACGTCTCTGAAAACTGTTAAATGGAGCAATTTGCTTTGCCAATTACATTGTAAAAATCCATTTCCAAATTATCTTATAATTCCTTATAAATGTTTTTGCTAATGCAAAGTAGTTTTACTTGAGTGATTGGTTGCTTCAGCAGGATATGGGAAAAAAAGGGAGTATGATTTCTATTAATAAACAAATATAGCTTGAAAGTCATGAATTGTGCCTCACTACCCAGCCTTTTTACACAACAACCATAATCATCTTCCCATATGAAACAAGCACTGCACATCATTGTTGTGAAGTTTACTGTGGGAATGTACTATAATATAATATAATATTGTTTCGCAGCCTTCATATATGAATACACAGGAGAAATTTGCTGGATTTTGTTTGGAATCACTTAAACTCTCAGCAGCATTCAGAGACTGATTGTAGTCACATGGGAGCAGTGATGTCCATGGCAGTCCATTAGGCTCCATTACTCACTCTCTTTAGTTTGAGTATTTGGGCTCATTTGGCAAGGGTACTGATTTATGCAAACACCCAAGCCCTGCTGGTCCTTTCACATGAACCCCCTACTGAATACGAGTCCCCACTGAACCACAAAATAGTTTTCTGTAAATAAATATTGGGACATAAATAATATTTGTAGAGCTGGGTAAGCTGTTCAGGGGAGCCGCTCCTACACTTGAGCATGGAGTCCCTCTGCTAACTGTCTTCCTCTCACCGAGGGGGATCTCAAAACAATTGTGAAATGATTGTCCACACTGTTACAGATCGAATGCCAGAAAGTTCCCCTCTGTCAATGATCTCTGTGGCCCCTAGAACATGCCCTGCTGTCTGCCGGCTTGGGGTAAATTACCGCCTGACAGGGCCGCTCTTTGTTGAATTAGAGTCTGGAGCGCGAGGGCCCACTCTGTCAACCTGTCACAGCAGGAGATTCTTGTCGCCGACACTCAATACTTTGTCAAAATGCTCAGATTGTACACCCAAATAAGCGTCCTGCTTCCACTGGGATGTCCTGCACTGAGGAGGGGGGATCAAAGCGAAGGCAATGGATCGCTGACACATTTGGCTTTGCCCTGACATCCTCTTTGACTCAACCATTTTTAACCTTAAAAACAATGGTGTGAAAATTGAGATGAACCCCTTAGATGGGAGTAGGACGAAAGAGAGAGGGGAACAAAAAGGAAATCGGAAGGAATTTCCATCAATATAACAAGGGCTAAATATAAACCACTTGTTATAACAGGAACTTGAAATGTATAGCTTGTAGTATTTTGTCCTTACCCCCATGCTTGGTTTCAAAATAGTGCCGCCATAATTATCTACAGATGGATATGGATGCAGCTGGTCAAAGTCTGAGGCCCTTTGTCTCAAAAGTGGGAGATCATCCAGTTGGTGAAACATTTTTTTTCTCACTAATAAGTTAGTTGCCCTCAGATTTGATCTGGCCGTTACGAGATACTCGCAGTGAGACCTTAACAATTAGCTTCTGCCTCAGACTCCTTATTGTTTGTCCTCTGAAATGTTCACATCTGAAATATGATAAATTGACTTGTTAAGGGTTCACTCGCAATTTGTGATTTCATAAAACATTATAGAACTATGATTTCCATACTTGTCTGACAGAAGAGGTTGTATGCAGGGTAACAGTTTTTAATTGCATGGATGTTTTCCTTTTTTTCAGTGCTATTCCTGTGTCTGTATCCTGTGTATGAAGGGCTTTTTTGATCCCTTCTTTTATCATAAAATATTCTATAACATCTAAGCTTTGTCATCCTGTCAGTCAAAATCTAAAATTACTCTTCTCATGTTTCTGATAGACAGCTGGCATGTTCTATAAAAAAAGTGGCTTTAAAGAACAGTTTGACATTTGACGGCAGAGAAAACATGAGCATGTTTCCTTAAATGTGACCTTTAAATAAAATCTATAGAATTTCACAAGTAAAGATCCAAAAACAACTGTTCAGTGGCTCAATAACTATTTATTTGAGCTTGATTTGTATTTATAGAACTTTAAGTAGTGTAACACAGTGTCCCTTTTTGCTTATGTACCAACAGTTGTGCCTAATAGCACAAAGATTGTTGACGAGGAGAAGAAGTTTCGAGACTGTGCCGACCTCCACAAGGCTGGCTTCCAAAAGAATGGAGTCTACACCATCCAGATCAACCCTCAGGAGACCAAAAAGGTGAGAAGCCTCAATATCAGCCAACGATGCACTCTAAAGTGAAATCATCTGCCTTTTCATCACTTGTGGGTTAATTGTTCATCAGTGTTTTATAAGGATTAGGAATACCCATAGCTGAAAATACACTTGGCAGCTTTGTGATTGCACAAGTTAAGCAGGTGGTTGTGAAACAGGACACTGAGCTGATCAGGATGGTTAGACGTGCGTGTGTGTGGAAGTGTTCTTAACCTCCAAGCAATGCTTACATATTCTTGATTGATGGGAGTGATGATTCAATAAGTGAAGAAGTCGGCAGAAGGTTTGTATGTTTCAAAGTCAAACTAGGTGCTGCTGGGCTAATCGCAGACATTTTCATTCTATTTTTTGTGTAAGGGAAATTATAATGTTGTGTATTGTGAAAACAAGCTTCATGCCTCTGCGTGGACGTTTCCGGCAGCAGTTTACTAGCTTACCTTTCACTATTATATCTCATTGGAGTTAGTTAGTCTAGCTTGATCACGTTAGCACTGACTCGCACTAGATGTTACTCTTCGTTCATGTTACTTCAACACCTGCCGAGTCATTGGCAGCGCCAGGGTACTCAGCATTGTTTTTGTCCCACATTATATTTAAGTAAGTAATGACTAAGTTGTGCTTGTATACCATGAATGATGAGCTAGTCTTGGGGAGGAAATTCTGTCAAGGGTACTTCCTTAATTATACCCAGGCTGTGTTAATGTGTGTTCAGCTGTGTGGGCTGGTTGAGGTGAGAGACCTTCTCCACTCCACCCGGGGTCTCCTCAAAACAAAGAGCAACACAGCAGATAGAGCGCCAGCGATGCATTATCAGCTTACACACGCTGAGGTCCAAGGTTAAGGGCCACATTACACCCAGGACCCCCTCTTTGATCCTGCAGAAACATGGCCGCCTGATGAGGAACATCTCTGGGGAGTTGGTGAGGGATAAGCAGACGCTGATTAAGTTTGAGGAGGACACAGATACGACACATTCCCAAAGATGATTCATCGTCAAAGCTGGGAAAAGGCGTGTCTGAAACCAAATCATTGTCCAAATGACCCTTCATTGTTTGTTAATGCCGTTGAGTCGCATTTAAATCTCAATCCAACAGCTTGTTAGTTAAATCTCTTCTGAATCTGGAAAGAAATATACAAAGACCTATGTGTGCTTTTGTGCCAATACCCTAATACACTTGTTTTTCCCACCCTCCTTTGCTCTCTCTTTTCCACTGTGTAGGTGTATTGCAACATGGAGACAGCTGGTGGTGGATGGACGGTCATCCAGCGCAGAGAAGACGGCAGTGTGGACTTTCAGAGAACGTGGAAGGAGTACAAGATGGTAAGACAAGACTAATGTGTGCACTCATCCGTATCCATTACAGCAAGACGATAATGTTGGTCCTTAAGACAAGGCGGTGAGGCAACACGCAGACAACATAAGGAGAATGCACAAATCCATATCAATGAATTAAAAAAACTGCGCAATGAGCTAAACATCCTGTTTCTAAAATATGCTTCTGCAGGGGATGATGACAAATAGCGTGTGCTTTTTGGACCCAATTGAACTTGGTGAAAACTAAGAGGCAGGATGTCATTCCTCCTCAGCAGTAGCTCGCCGTCGTTTTTTGTACTAGCAGTATTGCCAGGGGTATCTGAGATTTGCTCCGCTTCTCAGCCGAGGCTTCAGTGACATGCTGTTATTCTTCCTCTTTTCAACAGGAAATGATTACCTAAATCTGCAAACAACCCATTTGTTTAGTCTCCATAGCGCTGTGCCAGCTGTTTCATCTGTTTGTCATCAAGGAGAGATCTATGCATATTTGCATTAACGGTGTTAACATTTCCGAACCTAAGCTGTGTTTAGACGGTAAATTGGATTTATTATTGCTGGCAGTTGCATTGCTTGTGTTTGCTTGAGTAAGACACCTGTGTGTACCTTTCAATAGCTGTCAGTTTATTGTCAAAAGGAGTATGTTATTCTATCCTCTGTAATCGGCTTTATGTTACTGGTTTAAAATATTTCCCCTGTCTCCGCTTTTATTGATGTACAATTTAACAGTCGGAAAGGAATTCAAAGAGCTTGTGGGACATTATAAACCACATAACTCTTAAGTTGGATCAAATAAAAGCACTTACACAGGACTAAGCAATGGTGGAAGGTTTGTGTGTAAAAAAGGAACACACTGAATGATGATAATAAGTAAAAGGGACAAAGTAGAAAAAAAATAAGGAAATGTGAGACCTAAAAAGTAAGCACCATAGAGAAAGACGTGGAAGCCTTCCAGCTCTGAACAGGTGTCGTAGAGAGCATGGAGTGCATTTCAGTACATGAGGGCAAACTCATGGACCTTGGCCGACATTTACAGTGCTGATCTAACAGCTTAGCATTACTGTTCCTTGAAACGCCTGGAGGTGATCGATGGTGTTTTATTGTGTTATTAATTTTCTCATTGTTGGTCTCCAGAGGCCTGCGCTTGCAGATTTAAAGTACTTGGAGGATTTGTAAATCTTTCAGTAACAACTGACATGTTTCTTTGTGGGGCCATGGAGAGAATTTTGGCAACAGGGATGTCGTGCAAATGTTAAAATGAGATTTTAACACCATCAAATGTTTTTCCATTTCATTACCAGGGGACACAGGTCACAGGAGACCTTGCAAATTACATTCTCAACTCACTCTTTCATCTTATCAGCATGTGAACCTGGTGTTTGTACAGCAGTTTGTCCTAACCACTGCTCTACAAGCACCCCAGGGAGTAGGTGGGAAGCTCAAGTAAGCTGTCCATCAACCTGGGTCAGTTGTAACACATTAACATTACACTTGGCAAGTTATCACGTGTGTCGATGATACTTGAGTACTTGTATGAAGTAAAAAATGTACATTGAAAAGTTTGCTTAATTACATTACGGTTGAAATTGAACCATGATCTGGTTTGGATGGGTCAAACTTTTGAACTATGCATTTAAATAAAGGGCAGTGCCGAGGAGATTCAGACTGTCATGTCTAAAAAAAGGCCGCAAATGTATAAACTGATAAAAGAAAGTTGGCTAAAAGTAGGAATAAACAATTTAAATGGTTAACTCAAAGTAACGCATTCTGTCAGTTGAGGTAGTATAATGCAAACTTGACCAAAACCACCTAAACATTGACAATTCAATGCAAAATATTGTATTGGTAAATATAATTCCATATGTTAAAATGTATGTACATTCACTTATAATCCATTGACAATACCAGAGATCATCTGATAGGGCCGCTTTGAAGGTATGTTGGACAGAAAAGGTCTATTGTTGTAGAGGATTGGACTCTCTGTTATGTTACTTTAGCTTTGTGTATGCAACAGTTGCTCAATGATTACAATTACCTTTCCAGACAGAGTGTAACTGAAAAGCAACCCAAAGCGATCAGTCCAACAATGTGGCTAACCTTCTCCTCATCTTTTCTGAGCCGAGTGATATAGATCAGGTTTGCGTGGATAGTGAAGAACCGGAACAATATAAAGAAGAACTGTCCCCAGGTACCTCTCAGCCTTTTCTCCTGCCAGAGTTATTGAAAATAACCATGGTCACATTATGAGGCATTGGGCTGAGCTGAAAGACAGTCGGAGGGGAACATCCCATCAGGAGTGAAATCAATTCTAGATAGAAAGAGAAAAAAAGGAGAGAAGCCGGTAATGGACCCCAGTCACTTTCTCTTCCACCCACTCGGCAGGACATGCCTCAGGCTTGAGGAATGCCCCATATTTACTTTCCCTCCTTCCCATTCCTCATCACCACACATGCTCAGCACAAACAGACTTCTCCCTGACTTTGCCTCCCTAGCCCATGTCACCCCCCCCTTTCCTAATCTTTAATGGAGCGGTCCAGACTGTCCTGTCAGAGCTGTAATGTCATCCTGCTTCGTGATATTCCCCTCTGCAATCCACTGCTCTCGCTGCTGTCAGAAGCACTTTGCCTGTGACCGGGAGCAACTCTGATCGAATACAAATGTGTACAGTTGTTTGAAGGAGTGTCCCGTGAATGCAGTATGTATTTTGGGAAAGAAGTATTTAAATAGTAATGAGTTTAGCATGTGTGACTTGGGTGGAATACAGAAATGGAAAAAGGTGTGTGTCTACTTCAGCTGGTACCAATTTAGGCACTTTTATAGGTAAGTTAGACTATCCATATCGAGGACAAAGCCAAAAAGCAAGCTTTAAAAAAGTTGCATAAAATATGTTAATATACAATATGACAAATGTGTGGCTTTGTCACTGACATCTGGAGAAACAAAAAATAATGCTTGGATAAAAAAATAATATTTATGCATTACAGAAACAGTTCTGCTGGTGGATAAACAACCACATTATTAGCATTTTGTATTGGTCTTTTTTCTGATTGGCAAAAATAGATCGATGAATAAATGAGGAAATTCCTTCCCATCCATTCCACAATACCCTAGAGTGGAGATTTGATCATTCTAGGAAAAGAGGGGACATGGCAAAGAATAATCTCAAATCTATGATTTACAAAAAGGGTTTTCACTGCTATTTCCACACTGATTGTTATCATGTTTCACTTTGTACATTGCAGGGCTTTGGGAGCTTGTCTGCAGAGCACTGGTTGGGGAACGAGTATGTTTATCAGTTGACCCGCCAGAGGCAGTATGCCCTCCGCGTCGAAGTGACGGATTGGGAGACGGACGGAAACCAGGCCTTCTCACTATACGACCGTTTCCAAATCGGCAGTGAGAAACAAAACTACAGGTAATGCTGCTGATGTTGCTACTGATAGACATAGATCTGACCAGGAACACACAGGCTGCCAGATCTTTTGGTATTTTTTTACAGCTTTTCACGGTGGCTGATAAATATACTTGCGTTTGAACTCCTATTTGGACCACATTTTACAGTGATACAGATCTCAAGCTGAAATCTGTTAAGTCATCTGCAGAAAGAAAATGTGTGACGCTTATTGCATGGTTCTATTGATGGCAATGTTGTCCACTACTTTGATTCAGACTGAATTATTTACCACGTTTGGATGAATTTTCCATGACATCTGGCCCAAACCTCCCTGTCAACCACTGTATAATTTATAAACACCTTGGGGATCTCTTAATCTTTAATCCAGAACCATCTTTAGCCTTGATTACTGCATATCGGAAGATTGTGTAGCAGTGTCTTCAGCATATGTAACTAATAGGATGAAGGAAGGAGGAAAGGAGTTCTCCAGACACTTCGATCATGTTGATCTTGTTATGCAAGTCTGTGGCGAGGTTTTCTTCTCATCGCAAATTCCTTCCAAACCAAATCTATAGCTTGTCATCTTCTCCACATTACAACGTTTCCTTTGATTGACGCTTTGTCCCAGTGTGTTGCAGGGGCGAAGGTTTCTGTTTTCATTTGAGGGGGTTAATGATAACAGGCCTCAAACTATGGCAGATGCTTGGCCCTCTCAGATGTGGAAAACTGTTGCAAATTCCCAGTTCCAAGCAATTGCTGGCTTCACAGGAGAAGGTTCTGACATCTCCAATTGTGCAGCTTTCACTTGAAGGCTGCTCCTCTCTGATAAGAGGTCCCTTAAGTTGCGAAATGTCTCGCGTCCAGCTTTGAATGAGGAAAGAGATTCTGCAGCTTAAAAGCATTTACCTCAACCCTCCAATGCCTTGCACACAAGTGTTTCCCTTCAGCTGGGAGGGGGGGGCGTCAGGCTTGTTGCCATAACTAATTTTCTGAATTGTCTTGCGATGACAGGAGTTTCAATTTACAAGGTTTCTGTTTGGACGAGCTCGTACCTGGAGTGGGCTTTGTGGTTTCCTCTGAAATCCATTTTCTTTAGTCCTCAATCAAGCGGAAGAGATCAAGATGTTTTTTTCTTTGGACTTTAACAGAGTTGAGGTTTTGTTTGACCACAATGTTAGGACTCCATCTCTTGTTGCTGTACCTTTTTTTTTGTCTCTATTTCAGGCTCTGGTTTGGATACAAAGCATTGTCTTCAGCTTCAGTATCTTTTACACAAAGTATCTTTTGTATATCCCTTTCACACACTCCTGCACATTAATATCTGCTTTAAAAGTCATCCTTTCCTGTCTTCTCACATATATTTAATAACCCATATTTGATCTTCTGTTCTTGCATTTAGAGAAAACAACAATTCTTATTTTGCAGATGCAGCAGGCAACGAGCAACCCTGGCCCTTGCAGCCTGTTTTTTTTTTATTCAGGCTTATACTGTTTGGAAATCCAATCCGCACACAGATATCTATAAATAGATTTTCTCTTGAAAAATAGTTGTGGCATGATCTTCACACAATGCTCCTCTGAAACACAGCCAAAACAAACCAGATGGCTTTACCAAAACAAACCAGCGCAGCCATGTTTTCTGCTTGGCACCTCCCTGCTTTTCAATGTTAAAACAATCTGCGACAAGTTTCCTGGAATATCAGAGATAGTTAGTTGGATAGTAAGTGATATGACCATGGGTTTTAGATTATATTCTTTCATCCATGGTCGTTTACTGGAATAGATTGTACCATACTTGCGTCAGCGCAAATTAGATATTTTTTTATAAAGACCTCATTTGGTATTGTAAATGTCCGTGTTGTGCTCTCTGTAACACACACACACACGGGCTGTAAAAACAAAAGCACATAGACAAGGCCATGCAACATGCAAGCACCAGTAGGTAGAATAATTTAATAGCCTTAGTCCAACAATGCACACAACTCACCATTTATCATTTATTGAGAATTACTAGGAAAGGGTTGTCTTGCTGCCAGCGTCTTGGTTTCATCTATATACTGTGAAACGGAAATGACTCAACTTGCAAAGAGGGAGGGAGGTGTGCAATTATTCCTTTGTGAAATATAAGGCCCTAATCCTTTATAAATGAAGTCATGTTTGTGGAATAAATGTCATATTTATCACTAACACGCTAAAAGTCTGGACCTGCCATTTATAATATTACAGTCATCTAATTCATGTTGGCATGTCCAGCATAATACAACTATTATATCAGTACATTCAAAATGAGAAGATTGAAATAACTTGAATCATATTTGTAAGTACATTAAAACTCGTAGATTCCGTGCACTTGTTTTCAGAACGTATGCTCTTAGAAGTACAGCATTAGAACAGAAACAGATCAAGAAGCCTACATCACTGCAATAGCAGCCAAATAAAAGAAGAAATCTACATCTGCACAGTGTTAGCTGACATCAGCCATGTTGTTTCAAAGTTGAACGAACAAATCCTGTGGACAACACTTTGAGGGGTACATTTGGGTTGACCAAGCTTCAAAGTCCCCACTGAACCACAACTTCATAATATTGTGAAATTCTGCATTGTGACTTGGGCCACGATAATTGCAGAGGTTACTGTCTTTGTAAACAACTGAAAAATGTCCCTATCAAACCTAATTAGGTTGCTGTGATACAGCATGGGTTGCAGAAAAGAAAACAATACAATCAAATATAATATAATTTGATGACCTGCAAATATTGTTGTAATGATAGTCATCAGATCAACACATTCAGTGAATCGCTCTCATTTATCAAAGGTTATTTTCTGCGAAAAAGGGCTTTGTGCTAAATATCAATATAAAAAGAAAGAGTTGAAAAAAAGAGAAAATACAGATGCAATGAAGAAAAGTAAAATAGTGCTTATGGCACAAAATAAAGAAGAATGCGCAATGTTACACAAGACTAAGTGCTTTAACAAGAAAAGACGGAGCAGTGACCAATCAAACAATACAATGGTGTACATTGTATAGTGTACATACTTCTTTATGGCTAATTATAAAGAGCCAGCTAGTTTAAAACAGCATTGTATCCATTAAAGGTAGGGTAGGTAAGAATGGAGAAACCAGCTCGAGTGCGCTAGAATTACACAACCGAAAAAAATCTGCCCCTTCCTTCAGACTTCCTTACAGAGCCCCTCCTCCAACACACACAAACGCGCACATGACCAATGAGGGCACGAGATAAGTTTGTGCACAGATGGAAGGCTGACAGGCAGGTAGGCCATCCAGTTATTTTAGCCGGGCCGGCTAAAATGATTGGTCGTGCTTTTTACAGCGCCACGGCTTCCACAGATGAAATAATTGTTATATATTTATTGTCAAAGCATTTAATGTATTCATTGCTATTGGGATGTTAAGAGCATTCCATGGAATATCACAAAAAGTGTTTCTGAAGTGAATTACCTAACCTACCTTTAAGATGTATTTGAAAATTATGGATTCAAAAGAAAATACCAGGATACTAAAGTAAATGTTAACTTTTGTAGTGTTAGCTAGCCTCCAGTGGATAACTTTATATAACGGGACTAGAGGGTAACTTAATATGAAGGTCATTTGAAGGTATAATTGAAGGTCATAGAGCGTGGGAATTTAGTACGATTGTTCTCCAAAGTTTTGGTCATATTGTTTCCATAGTAAGCTTTGCCTTAAAAAATTGTTGATTCAAACAGTTTAATAAATATATGCACAGACACAAAGTGAGGTTACATTTTTTTTTTTTATGTACCACCAATGTCCCCCAGCTGGAAGAATTGACTTGTACGTTTGTTTTTAAAACAACCCAATACATCTTTATTTAATAATGTCTTGTGTTCGGACAGCCAAGTCTATAAATCAAGTAAAAAAAAAATACACATATTTGCACATATTTCTATTTCATATTTCTTGTTTCATATTTTATATCCTATAATTCATTCATAGCATTCTATTTCCATGTAAATTACTGCTTTATTTATTGCTATTTAACTATATTTTATTACGGTGTCCTTAAAGATTTTTTGTTTTATATTATATTTTTTGTCTGCACCATGACATTTGTAGCCTTTATTTAACCAGGTTAAAAAATCCCATTGAGATCAACGATCTCTTTTTCAAGGGAGACCTGCAGTACATTGGTTACACATAAAAACAACAGAAAACAAAAAGGACATCACAACATAATTACAGGGGTATAAATTAGCAACCTATTCACAATGACAGGTATCTAATAACATTTTATCCAGCCGTGCTTTAAAATGATGCAAGGGAACCAAAATGCTCAGTTTCAATGTTTTTTGCATAGTGTTCCAAGCTAGAGGAGCAGCGCACATAAAAGCTTTAGTACCTAAAACAGTCCTAGCACTTGGCACATGTAATAAAAACACATCCTGGGATCTCAGGCAATAGCTACTTGCCACTCTCTGTGAGATCAAAGAGCATATATAAGTCGGTAGTTTACCCAGCATGGCTTTATAGATGAATATGTACCAATGACTGAGCCTCCGAACAGTAAGTGAAGGCAGACCTGCCTTGGCATACAGGGTACAGTGATGAGTAAGTGCTTTACAGTTAGTAACAAATCTCAGAGCACTGTGATAGGCGGCATCTAACCTTTCCAGGCAATAGGCAGGTGCATTCATATATATCAAATCACCATAGTCCAGCACAGGTAAAAAGGTCACACATCAAGTCAAATTCCTCGTATGTGTGGCAATAAACCTGTTTCTGATTCTGATTCTGATTTTTGTGGTAATGGCCCAGTTTCCCTGTGGAATCAGATAGATATTTTAAGATGTTTTTCATGTGAGGATTAAGGAAAGAAATTGGCTGTTAGCCGGGCTCCAAAACATGGCAACTTATCTTTCTCCCCCCTAAACCCACCCCAGACCAAAACTGAGATAATCTAAGAGATCTCAATCCTTCTCTTGAACTACATCCTTGTAATATTATTTTTCCGAGGCTTCCAACAATGGAGATGAAGCAACAGG